GGGCGGTGGGGGCTGGCGGCCGCCGTGCTGTGGAAGGTGCGCGTTTGCTTGAGCGATTTGCCGGCCATCACGGGGAACCTGAAGAGCAATGTCGATGGGAATAGGGCCGTGGTGGAGGCGAGGGGCGGAGAGGTGCATGTCGGCGCGCTGACCTGGGGCGGTGGCGAGGACGAGGTTGATCAGGAGCTGTTTGGGAGGGAGAATCAGTTCAAGGTATGGTTTGACACGCTTTTGCGTGTGACGACGTTGGGAACCCTGAGGACAAAATATAGCTGACGGAATTTTGTAGATTGTCCTGGCCGCAGACCCCATGTATGACGACAATCACCCGGCGCTGCTGGCATCTGCCATTGCCCAACACCTGGCGCTGGGCACGGAATCGCGAGCTGTGGTCATGGTACCTAAGCGTGACGGCACGACCATCAGGCTTCTGGAGGCGTTCAAACAGGCCATGCTTGATCTTGATGTTCCTCTGTTTTGTGTCGAGGAGGACGAGTTGGCCGGCCAGGATGATTGGGTAGGCGACGATGAAGAGGGCCATGTCCGATGTTGGTTGGGTGTGTTTTCACGCGGCGGCTCGCCCATTCCTGTTTAATGTCTGCGTCCGGGAGGTGTGGACAGCGCTGCTGTGAAGATTGGGGGTTCATGAATAGACGGCATACACTCTATACACTGGGATTGTAAAAACCACCGCGGCTCACGGTACCAATCAAGGCTACCTTGCGAATCAGCATCGTGACGGCAACGATTGTATGACTCAGCAGTTCGTGGCTAGAGTTCCGTGCCCAAGGGTCCAAGGCCTCAGTAACAAGTGAGCCTGTGCAGAGTATGGCTTCACATGCTCCGTATGAAGGCAATGATTCAATGGGATGCAAGCCCAACCGAGTAACGTTGTCAGTGAGCATCAAGCAATCATGAAGGTAGGTCTGACCTTGGGTTCATTGGGCCGCGGCATAGTCTGAATCATGTACAACATTGTGCGGATGAAGCAAGTATGCGAAAAAGAATGCGCTCATGAAGAGAACAAATACTTACATGGACTGAATGGCAACCTGGCCGTGCGCGTAAGCGGACGCATCGTCTTTTGTGCATTAAGGGGCAAAGGCCACAGCTCGGCCGCAATCTTCTTACAAGGTTTGTTCTTTGTTGTTCCTCTCACGCCTTTCCTTTGACCTTATGGTTTTGCTACGGTACCTGTGATAGGTATTCTGCGGCCATGTTCACACGCATGCGAAGCATGGAAATCGGACTGCTTACCATGTGCAACGGCTGAAACGACCACGACGAATGCCATCTTCTGCGTTCACTTGATGCCGTGATTTCACCACCATAAAGTCCCCAAACTCCACCCATTTATTCTTGCCTCCGGAATGTTGTGTTCGCATGGAAACAGGATGATAAATCAATAGCCAGTTCTGGGCAATGGCTATAGGGTTGAAGCCAATGGCATACTTTGGTTTGACTGATCATCATGATGATTAGCCAAGCTTTGCCACTATGATATATGTCTCCATTGAGATTTTGTTATTGCAGACTACTAGGAATGCACCTACATCACTCGGCTTGCTCTTCAGGTATCCTTAAGGTTACAAATCGATGACTACAGAATATTAGTGGACTAGCGAATGTGGCTCGCTAGACTGCATAGCCTAGGTGTCAACGATTTCCCCGAACACTTACATTACCTTCGGCGACGTCGCTCAACTGCTATCAGTCACATTTTCAAGATATCCATGTAGGAATTTGAGCTCGCTTGTGTTTGGTCGCATTATTGACAAGGGAATGACGTCGACAAGATTCATCTCATGTTCCGCCAGTGTAAGGGCTATTTTTCTTGTCGAGTATTGCCACGACACCGTTAGACCTGTTGACGAATTCTGGTGATTTCGCACAGCGCCGCTGTAAAGACGCCAGATACTTACCTGCTTAATGTCAAAGTTATCTCGATAACGCTTAGGGGAATTAAAGGAAGCTGGTTTGGCTACTTCGTCCAAACCCAGTAGGAGGTTGTGCAAGGGCAGAGGCAGAAGAGAGTATGGCCTGATATCCACGACAATGCCAGGTTAGTGAATAAAAAGACAATCGGGTGTCTTTACCAATCTTTCTTCTCATTTTTGCATGTGTTTTGATCGCGGTAAATGCACCCATATTCTGTTGTAGATTTGGTCAAGTTTGGTAAGTACCGCAAGTTCTAGGACCATAGCCTCGACGACGAAGGAAACAAGGATACACGGTGCTCGTATTTGGATGATTCAATCGTCTTGTCGAATGAGTATCATAATCAATATTGTAACTTGAAGCTACTGCTCTTTATTCTTTGTCCCGAACACTGCTGGCGGGTCGGTTCTGATTCATCGGGAAGAGGGAGCCTGTCGCCATGAGAGGAGAAGGCTAGATTTTCAGTTTTATGGCCATAATATTCACAATATGGGAACGATAATTATCGTATCCTTCGGTAGTAGTTGGCGGCCCGTCTTTGTTCGACTTTTGTCTGTCTGCGCAAAACCACGGATGGTCAGGCCAAGGCTCTAGGCGATCATATCAAAGGAACCTATGACTATTTCATCATCTTGTGTGAAGAATATAGAACTTACCACATATTGATGCAATGACGGCCATTCTGTGTCCTCTTGGAGATGTACAGGTCCTGTGGGAACCGCCAGTCGCGTCTTGTCGATTCGAGTTGTCTGCACTGAACCACGATTTCGGACCTTTCTGCAAAAAGCATCTGATCTCTACCCATAGAATTGATCAGAACTCTATTTATGTCATTAGATAGCATTTAGTGCCTCGTAGTGCACCGTTGTGGATGTTGAGAACGAATCGAAGGCTAGGCTAAGCCATGGTGCGTCATTGTTGCAAGGATCGAAATTCACAAGACAACCCCGCCACTGGAACAAAGAGATGAAGCATGAAAATCTTCAAGGAAATCAAATAGGCGCATGGAATAACTTATTTCTTGTTGGATTTGTGATGAAATGTTGGGCGCATCGTTGGTAGATGTTCGAGTTTGCGATGCGGTGGAGTGCAGAGGAGAAGTAGTCTGTCGTGGCCGGCTCTGCTTTGCACGGCCAAGCCAGACGTTTGGCAGTTCAGGGAGGGAAGGAACAGTCGAGCTATTTATTGCCATAGAAGGCCACGGATGCAACAACTTGCTCAGCATGGCTTACATCCGGCTACACATACAAGAGGAGGACTGGGAGTGTCAGGGGAATAGAGTATTGTGAGAACTTGTACAAAGCCAAGAGCCCGAACAAATGCACAGCAAAAAGAGGATGCTTCTTATTATTCCTTATTTGGCTTCCCTTCCTGTAGACGCCCCATGCAGAATCCGAAGACATAGCAATGGCATCAGGTCCTGCTACACGTAGCCGGCGGAGGACACAGGCAACATTGGACGAATAATGACCAAACACAAAACACAAAGGACACTGAATAATGATTGAAGTATCATATGACTCGCCCCAGTCACTGAATTACGCAGCAATGATAAAGGGGAGCCGTCAAAGCTTTGCCAGCCGGCGTCATCTGCCGTATGCTTGACTCTACACTACGCTTGTCTGGCCCACGTTATTGGGCAATATATCCTTGAGCCCTCTGATGCTAGACTTGTGATACTGTTTGTCTCTTCCTCCTCCTCGGCCCTTTCACCGTCCCCACCTGTTGTTTACCTTTCAATCTTCTCTCTCCCAAGTACTCTCGTTTTCCTCCCACGCCCCTTGGCTTTCTTTCTTCTCGCCTACGTACTGCTGACTATCACCAGCAATTCATCCGACTTTCCGCCATCACACCGCCAAGCAACTGCAGCGGTCTGAGCTAAAACACCCCAACTCGGTTGGGTCTCGTGTCACATCTCGGCTTCATCGTCGACGTGTCGCCCGCTTTACGATACAGTGATTATTCGCGCGGAACCAAACCAGAGAGATTTGCCCATCTGATCGACCTGCTCTTCTTCTTCACTCCTTTTTGATCCTTCTTGCAAAAATCTCCCCGGACCAGCAACGCTCGGGACAACCAACGTCTACCCCCTTTTCAACGACAGCGGTACACAGGCTCATTCTTATCCTCGTCTGCAGTTGGCTTCAAGTGGTCTGTGATGGCATCCGATCCCAAGTGAGTCTGCGTGTTTCCATAGGGTATCTGTGCAAACAAGTCATCTTGCTGTGGCGCCAACTGGCCGACCTATATATCTTCTTCATCCCTCTCTCTTTCAGAGGCGTTTGTGTCTCTGACGATTCCGCAAGAAATCATACTCTGAAGTAGCTTTGCGATCCCCTATTATATACTATTCCCTTTATTCTTTCTCCGGCGCACTTTCAAGATCTTTGCGTTTGCTTTGTTTTTTTCTTTGTATCAGATCGCTTGTGCGCCTCGCCGCATCAACGCCTCGATTTCTTCTTTCCCCCTTTGTGTCAACCGAGATACGTCCGCCAGATACCGAGATGGCGGGCTCTCAACAGTACAAAAATGTCGAGATACACTACGTTCTCAAGGCTATTCACATGAGAATGCCGTCCGATTGGGTTCGCATGAGGTTCGAGCAGCGCTTCAACCGCAAGCTGAGTGAGAACCAAGTTCGTTACTTGAAGAACAAATATGGCAGAGATCCCCGGTTCGGGTAAGCTCTTTTTCAATTGGCAGTATTTTGTCCATTGTAGTTGCTCGTACAGTTATTGTTGTGGAGAGACGGATCGCGTATTCAACCGACGCCACCGCTTGTCTCATTCTTGAACTCGCTCTCGAAGCTGACTATTATTCCCCTTCACAGCACTCCTGTTGCCAACAGCACCTCCACCTTTGGAGCACCGAACCCACGGATTGGACCAGGTTACTGGCCACCTGATGACATCTTGGCTATCGACTACCAAGCTTTTGAAGAACGCGGTGACGACGTCGCCGAACCAAACCTCCGTGTTGTTGCTCCTATTAGCGGCATCATGGCCCCAACGCCTTCACCCATGGCTCCTCATGTCCCCGTTGTTCGGTCTGGAGGCCCTGATGGCAGTGAGCTAGCTGGAGCCCTCGGCGCCCATACTACCTCCGTGACTGGCCAGAAGCGTGCGCGTGGCAAGGATGAAGAGGAAGAGGTTGACGGCTTGACCGAAAAGTGTGTTGGTCTGCCCTAATGACTTGGAGCACCGAGACTAACCTTGAGCCTTCCTCCAGTCGTCTTCCAAACTTCCACAAGACATCCCGCGTCGATGCCTCTGCAAGCTGCACCGATCACTTTTCTCGGCCGGAGTACTCTGCCGCCTTTCTGGGCCCTCCTCCCATATATGGAAATGATACAATGCTCTCAAGCGATGGGGCTTTCACTCCTACTCCTCTTGGACCAGTTCTTCCAGCATGTCCTCCTGTTGCGCGAACTCCCACATTCTGCCTGAGTGGTCCAGTTCATACCTATGCACTTGGACAGGCAAACCAGTTACCCATGAACTCCTTCCATTACACTCAGCTCCGCCCCATGGGACAATGCATAGCCAATAACATGTATACTGATGCTCTTACTTTTCAAGACGATGCATACGCCGATGTGTCGGGTAGAACAAGACACGGCGTCCCAGGCGATATGAGCACGGTTCCATTCTGTAACCGAAATGCGAACTTTTCCTTCAATGGTGGTTTTGGACAGCATGTTTCTAACGACTTGAGCGTCCCCGGCCTTGGTTACCAGCATGGCCCAAAAGGTGGTTTTGATGGCTTTGGCCAGACCTCCGCAGTGCCATATCCATGGGACCTCAACAGCACCTTCGTTCATCCGTGTATGGATCTTTTGAACTCGACACCCAGTTTCCTTGGACTCGATAACACCTCAGCTATAGGCACACAAAATTACACACCACATCAAGTTTCTGAGCACTACTCCCCCTTTACGCCCGCCTCGAATATGACACAGCCGGCGGTATCGCTCCAACCCGTCAGCAACCAAGTTCCGCAGCAGATATCGCTTGATGGCGCAGCCGTCCCAGAGACGAATTCTTGCGGCAATCTAAAGACGATACTCAACAACAACGGACTTGATCATGCGGCATCCAAGGAATATAGAGAACGATTGGACAGAGAGTTGGTAGAGAGTCTATCTGTCCATGGCTCTGATACTAATAGCCTGCATTTCTTTTCCGACTTTCCTTCCTCCTCTAAGTGCGCTTTCAACCAGAATTTCGATGTCGCGCATTTGGCCACAAATATGAACGCCTCTACAGCCAAAACTGCTTCTTCGGATGAAGTATTTGAGACATACATTTGTGATCTTGATCGCTCTACGACGGCCTCAACCGTCTGTACTCGCGCAACTTCGGTTTCTCAGCTCAGTGAGCCTGTCCATAAAGAGAAAGAACACAACGAGAACAGGCTTGAGGTTGAACGCCCCAAGGAAAGTCTCACGACCAGCGCGGCTCAGGCTGCACTTGGCGTTTCTAGGCAAACAGAAGAGAAGTAAACGGGTTCTAGTTGGTGCATTTCGTTCTTCGGCGGGGATTATTAAGCGTGCCACTAAAAATGGTTCTTGCGCGTGCGACTTCCCTTCTTTGAGATATTCGTTTACCTTTGTTGATTCGTTTTTATTGTCAACTTTGGACCATGGCCGCGGGAAGATCAGCCTATTTTGGCAATGACTGAAGAATGGAGAGTCTGGGTTTGAAAGAAGGGATTTGGAAGTTTTTTCTTTCTTTTGTTCTTTCTTGTGTTCTTTCTTTTTAATATCTTTGCGAAAGAGTGAAATGGAGTTCATGAGATCAGGTTTAGTGAGAGTTTTGACGAATTGGACGAGATGCTGAGAACGGATATGGCCTCAGCAGGATCGGGGGAACTTCGCTACTAGGAAAGGGAACTCGAATAAGTTCCAGGTTTGGACAAAGTTAGGTATTGTCCTTGAGACCAATACAGAACACTGCTACGTCTGAAAATAATGATAAAGAAGTTGACTGAAGTGAAGTAGATTGATCGTCATAAGCCTATACAGTGATAACTCCCATACCCACCAAGCGTGACAGAGTCAAAAGAGTTGAAAGCAAAGGAGCCAAAAAAACAAGGGTAGAAGTAAGGGGGTATCTATTGCGATGTGACAAGTTCAATTGAGCGCCACATCTCGCTCTTTTGTAGCGCTATCCGCTTGGACAAAGGTTCAGTGCCAACGAGAAAAGAAATAACACAAGGATATAGTCTCCAATGAAGTATAATCGTAAACATTTAAAGTTGTCAACTCGTAATCCAAATTCTAGACGGCGATGCTGACGTTTCTTCTTGATTCAGCTTCATCGACGCCAAATTGAAAGACAAATTTGAAAAGGTCGCGGAGATAGGCATGTCGTGGAGAACTATTGCTCATGGCCAGGACACTCTTCGCCATGTCCTGAGCCATTGCCCGTTTTCCACGAACGGGCAAGGCGTGATTCCGTGGAAGGAAATTGTCTGATAGAACAGAGCTTTTATATTGCTGCAGGAGCGTGGCATGGCTAGATAGGGAACCGAAGGAGCCAGTAGGTAAACCTTGAACAAACTTGTGCAGCACTGTGGACTCGGACATAGTATCTTGGATAGCGTCCCGATTAAATCCCATGTTCATGGCCGCTCGGAGAACCAGCAACTTTGATCTTGAGATATTGGGGTCTTCCGTTGCGGCAGTTGTGGTTGCTGTGCTCGAAGTTCGATTACTACCCCGTGAATAGCTGGACATGTTGGACGTGTTACTCGACCATCTCCCCCCAAGACCCGTATCGCTTGTGGTACCGAGTACCATAATGTTGGGCATCTGGGGAGATCGACTTTCTGGAGAAATAGGGGTGTCTTCAAACTCGGTTACAGGAGTTTCCGGAACTGGTGGCGGTTTGCGTGGCCGCTCTTCCTGATGGCTGCTTTTAACACTTTCCCTTTTTGAGTGCAATGATGAGCGATTTGACTGTCGGCTCTCTCTGCCCGATTGCTCCACAGGTTGCTGAGGGAAAAAGCTTGTCTGGTTTGGTCTGGGGGTATTTCTGTCAGGGCGAATCTGGGTCCAACCATCTCTGAAAATGTCGCAAAGATCCCAGCATGCTTGGACAGCAGACCCAAGTAGTTCCTCATCTACAGGATTTCCATCCCGTTTGTTTTGGCGAAGACTGAACAGCATTTCAGCCAGGGTCCAGCAAGCACTTAGGAGGTGATCTGTCTCTTCTGCTAATTCACTACGCTGTTTCATCAGGCGATGGCAGAGTGTGATGTAAAAGTCGAGAGTTCTCTCCCTGAACGGTTCTGGTAGCTTTCTACTATCCTGAGCGCTGTAAAGGCTACATCTCTCATGTTAGCTATTGCACTCGTTGGTAGTCCGTCACAGAAGGTCCTTACTGATTGTTCAGCTCAAAGCTCACGCGAAGCACCGAGTCCGAAGTCTCGTCTTTCTTTTGGCGGACATCAAAAAGAGCTTGACAAAAGTCTCGACACAGTTCCAAGTTCATTCTTACATTGTGAGAAGCCAAGTCCTCGTCTTGGTTGTCGTAAAGGCGCTGACAAAGCTTCCAACAAGTTTTCCAAGCCTTCTCGTGGGCGTCGGGCGTCCCAGAACTGTAGAACACTCGTGCTCTGTGGATTGCACTAAGGCTAGCCAGTGTGTTGCAGAGTGTCCAACACTCCTTTAGCGCTGCCCTCAGAGCTGTAATTTCATCATCAGCAGGCCGTAAGAATGGAGTAGCAGAATAATCATCGTTGCCATCGTCGTCCTCTTCGGCCTCAGTCTGTTCATCGATCTCTACCAGTCTGTCAGCCACAGAATCTCACTGGAAAGAGCCTGAGTACATACTTTCGAGGCTACTAGTACTACTGGATCTCAACCGGCTCCCATCATCTAGCATATTTTGAAGGTCCTGAGCTCGGGGAGTTGCGCTGTCAATAGTGTATCGAACTGGCTTTACATCCGTCGAGATAGGGGGCCGAGGGGGCTGTGATGTGGGCTATAGAAGACAACGAGTTAGCTGTCTGCCTGACAACATCTGTTGCACATGTCGGCTTGCCTTTTGCATAGGACTACCAAGTGCAGCCGAGTTTTTCTCCTCTCCTCTGGGGGAGGACCGATCGCTAGGCTGGCTTTGTTGAGCCGTGGATTCTGTGGAAGTCTGGTAGATGTTAAAACCAGGCTATTCTTAACGATCGAAACATCCCAACCGTGGAAACTGAAACACTTACCCAACTAGCAAAGCTCTCAGGTGCATGAATGACTGAGACAGCCTCATCACCACTTGCCTGCCGAAGACTTTCGGGCAAATTTGTGGAGAGCATGAGAAGCTATCTAGAAGTTAAAATGGCTTCGATGCTCGATTTGCGGGTTGACATACTTGGGAGCTCTGCGACATATCTCCATAGTGTGTTTGTTCCACCTCTTCTAAAGCATCGTCTTCAATCTCAGTGGTTTCTGTCCCATTAGAAGTCACGGGAGATGGTCCTACAATGTCACTTGGGCTTAGAACGTTCATCGAGTTTGAAGATACGCGATTGACGGAATTTGGCCGCAACATAGTCGAATCTGTTACAGGTGGAGGAGAGGAGCTGATATACTAAGTTAGAAGTCGTCATCCATAACTGTTCGGGAAGTAACTTACACGGCTCTGTATGACGACCGCACTCCCTCGGTTTCTGCCGAGGCAGACATGTCGCCCTCTTTATTAAAAGGAAATTGCAAGTTTCCAGCTGATGATCTAAGAGGTGCCTCAAGAGCCATGATTGGATGGCAGTAAATACGCGATGGTCGACAGAAAAGTCCAAAGTGGTGTAGGCTATGAAATGTAAATATAAATTTAGTGGTGCAGTGAGTGTGATGCAAGCCTGCGGTGCACCTTTAACATGCCCCGGTTAGCTACAAGTTCAGCCAGTTCCGAGGAGACACTGTGATCACCACAGCGAAGCTATAATGGAAGTGAGGTATGCCTGGCCGAACTGTATTAGACCGGTGCATGAATGGTGGTTGAGACGAGGTGATCCACGAGGTCGCAATAGCTGGCCTACCTCGTTAGCAGACTTCCAGAATCGAAGCGACAGCAGGACGTCCGAACGATATGCCTCCAGATGGAGGGCTGGGAGGATTAGGGTCGGGAGTAACGGGCGGGCGTCTGTGGTTTAAAGAGGCTCCGCGCAATGAGTGGTTACGGTCAGGTTGGCTGATAGACAAGGGTGATTGGACCCCCATATGTATGCGTCCAACTAGGCTGCAGTAGGCTGAAATGCACCCCTGTGAGATTCTGTGTTATAGCGATTCACAGCAGCAGGTGGGCGTTGGTTGTCGGAAGCGCCAGGCTGTCTGTTCAGTCCGTGTATAGGCAGGTAGAAGGATTGAACCAGGTGAAAAGTGGAAGCGTCAGCAGCCTCAAAGTTGTGGGAGATCCTGAGCAATCTCCAAGGACCGCCGGAATTAGTAAAGTGGCCAGCAAAAGAGTAGGTTGAAAAGGGTGCCTTGGTGATGCTCAGGCGCAGCCATCCAACCAAACTCAGACATGAGGGGCTTGGGGCCCCGTGTTGGAAACTGTTATCCTGGTGATAATGTTGGCTCATTTGATGATGAACAGAGCAACCTTGGGCCGAATGATCTGACCGGCGGGTTCCCGTCCCTCAATGAGCCACGTCGGAGGCTTTGTTTGGGAAGTCAGAACCGCCAGCACCAGGAAGGCATTGCAAACTTTTGCTCCGGGGCGATATGGAAAGAGAAATACGAAGCATGAGCCGTAGCTAGTGGCAGACAACCAACAAACTCGAACAAGCTGTTGGTTCATGTGAATCGCAACACCAGGAGGGCGAAAGGCGTACTCAAGTTGCATGCACTATCCCCCAAACAGATGTTGAGTGTCTTATTTCCACAGCCAACGCGTGACGAAAACCAAAGTTTCCCAACCGGCAAGAAAGCAAGCGGGTTGTCCCATCAAGAACAGAGAAAGCGGGTGGGCCCTTCTCGATCCAATCTAGCGCACCATCCCCATCAGCCAGGTCCGCGCTCTCTTCGCTATTGTCCCCTCTTGCCGCAACGGCCCAGAGCTCTTTGTTTCAGCCACTCACATATCGCGTTACTCGTCGTGGTGGAGGTGAAGGACGAGCCCCGATGCGGCCAACGCGTGGGGCTGCATGAAGGGCAACAGGCCTCGGCGCTTAACTCTGGCGAGTGGGTTTGCGGCTCGCTTCCGGCGACAGGTCGCAATTCGTTGATAGATATTCCATCCTCGCAGAAAGGGTGTGCGTGGCAGACTCCATCGTCTTGCATCTTTTTGCCCGCCTCTGGCCAGCTGATGGGAAAGACATTCAGGTACAGCTCGCGCGTGCCTCAGGTATCCCTGCTATGTCGTGAAGGATTCGAGATGTAAATCCTCTGGCAGTGTGTCCTGGCAGGCGGTTTGGGAGGGGTGTTTGAGCAGAATCGATGAACGTGATTCGCAGCAAGTGAGCACGCTCTTGCTTGTCTAGCTGTTTTGCAAAGTGCACGCTGACATCCTGGTCAGGATTGTATAATCTTCACCGGTGAAGACCTTCCTTCAAGCTTCCAGCATCAGGTAGGAGCTCTCACAAGGCTTGTGCAACCAACCTCCCCGTCGCATGGTCTAAACGCGCATTTTGATCGATAAGTTTGAGCTTGGCCGCTCCGTTTGAACCATGTCTCGGTATCAGTTTGAGAAGCACATAAATAGTTGCAGGCGCATTGGTAGATACTGCATACTGTCCGTGGACGAATACCAGACCCAGGCTCTCGTTGCCTTGTTTCTCAGTGGCGGTTTAGTCCCGAAGATCTGGTCAGGGCGGCTTCAACATCAAATCAGGCCGGGCAGGTGGAGCCCGACACCTGCGCGACTGGGGGGTTGCCTAGACTCTAGCAAACGACCAAGTCAAGAGGCGTTGGCTTGTAGTTTGTGTGCAGGTGCGTGATTTGAAAGGAGGATTTTCACACTCAGAATTTGGACTGTGGAGCGCAGCAGGGGTGGTTATTTGAAATTGCTCCAGGGAAGGAGCAGCCTCCGTGAAATCGTTTTGGGCTTGGTACGTACGTCTCTCCTAGATAGCATCTTTTGTCTACGACATTTTCTATTGATGCAGAAGTATTGAGTTATTTTATCCCTGAATCTACTCAAATGACGAGATGCTTGTGTAACGGCTACTTGGGCCCTTAAGTCTTCGTCCAGATTCAACACCAACGAACGCTTGCTGGAAGAGCTCGCTTAGATGCCACATCCTGGCAAGCCATGTGCTGTGCATCCAGCTTCAATTCTTCGCGGCTGAGTGACTGCAGTTCTTGACAACACTTACAGGCAGCCAGCGCACCGTAATCCATGGCCGTATGCATTGGTTGCACGGCAGCCAGCTTTAGAGACCCAAGTCTGCCCGAGCGGGGAGCTATTGGCCAACATAGCCGCGATATGGCCGCCGATTGTAGAATTTGAGCTCTCAAATCCTGCCCGACGTTACTGGCGACCTGATAACCGGTTTCAGGTATACCGGCAAGCCACGTCGAAAGCATTGAAGCTTCGTTTGGCGCCATAAGCCTATCCTTATACAGCTCCGATTTAAATTTAGCATCTCTAAGCAGCAACGCGAGATAGCCTGGAGATGAGATTGAAAGAGAGCATAGGCATGTCTTTGAATGGTATTGCGGTCGGGAAATACGGCCTTTTTTCTAATAACTCGTTTCCAACAGGCTATTGATACCTTGGGTTGCCGGAGCTGGCTAGATGGACAAGGATTTGGTGTGTTGCCGGAGGTCGAGGAGCCGATACCAAGTTACGTTGGATGCAATAGACAACCGCTTTTCTCAACTCATGTCATCAGTGTACAAGAGTGAGATCCGTTAATGGATTACGCTATTTCGAATACTTTGGGCCATAGGACAGTATCAATTCATACCTTAACTTTACCCAACCTAGGGTACTCTGCTATATCTAGTGTCTAGAGCTAACATGGAACGAGAACGTGCAAAACAGGAAGTCCTTTGGTTTAGGTGTAGAGAACATAAACCTAGGCAGAGAACGAGCTATCCTAGGCTACAGGCCACGTCTAGTACATCATTCGACAACGTTGTTACGTAGACACAGTTTTTGAATAAACTTGTGAACTTGACTCTCTCGAAGGGGAGGGGGGCTGAGAACAGACTAGCATTTAATCTCCTAAACAAATTGTCTAAGGAGGCAAAGTTCTTTTGGGTATGCCATAACTTGACCTCCAGCGCCAAATCTGCCATCCAATCAACAAAGAAAAAGAAACGACCCAAGAAACGCCGACCTATGCACTCTCATTGACAGCGAATGATCCAGCCTCATGCTAGTTCATTGAGCCGTTGCTTCTTCTCGTTTCGACCGTCTGGTGTGTATCTAGGGAAATTCAGTTAGCAACTCCTATGTTGAAGGAACCCAGCTAGTTTGATTTACTTTAGCAGTTTCTCGATGAGGTCGACGTGGGTCATGATCATGCGACGGCAGCAATAACGCTTCAAACCAAGTTCGTCCATGGCATCACTATTAATTAGCGTTAGAGAATTCCTTTTTTCAGTAGTGATTTGCCCGGCATGTGCTTACCCGTCGGTTTTTCTCGGATCCGCGATGAGTTGGAGATACCGCTCCCAAAGGTCCCCCGTGACCTGCAAACATTAGTGGTGGACCGCAATGTGGAGTTTGCGCATGCGCGTACCTTTCCACAGGAGAAGCACCGTATAGGAATAATCATAATGATTTTTTTCTTTGAGAGTTGATGCTAGAACAAGGCGTGTCTGGAAATGGATGGATGGAAAGGTGCGATCGTGACGAGATTGCCCTTGTCTACAGAGGCGACCTGAAAATAGAGTCTGGCCGGAGTTTTGCCGGAATGCCTTATCTTATCAACAAAAAGTTCAATGGCGGGACCAAAATTTCTGTGCTAGCAGAGGCCCAAAGCCGACCTTGTCGACGGCCTCAAAAATTGCCCGTTGCGACAAAGCTTTTTCCTTCGTCTGCGATTTTCACGTTCCGTATCTGTCGGACAGAGAACACCTGTGACGATGACTGGAAGTAAGGGCCCTCGGGCCAAAGATGACAAAACAAAAAAAAGAAAGAGGGACGTAAATGAAAGCGAGACGACGTCGAAGAGACATAGACAGCAGAAACGAGAAAGCATAGCTAATGGCAACAACGCGCCAACGCCTCAAAAGTTGAAGCAGCGAGAATTAAACCATGAAGATCTGGCAGGGGAACTGAGGTCTTTTCGTCCTCAACAAGTCATCCGGCAGTCTGACGACGGAGAGGCTGGCTGGCGAGTTTCAAAGCCGATGGGCGGCCGAATGCTTGACATTGATCCCATTCTTACGAAAGACGAACAGTGAGATGCCTTTCAAATCATACCCCAACCTGCTCTAACGCCTGGACAGATACCTCATCATTACGTACAACACCTCAATCCAAATATATAACGCCAACGATTCGCTGCTCATTCGACGTATTCCAATTAGCACTCTCGATACATCAGCTTCGAAGGGTTCAACTCCTGCTCACATTGTTGGAACTCGTTTGTCAAAAAGCAACCCTCAGTTAGTGTGGGTGGCGTGCTCTGATGGACACATTTATTGTGTTGATTGGTCTCAAGGAGACACCCCGTCCCCTGCGTTTCAAACGTCTTCCAAAACTGCGAATGCTTTGGCGGTTGTGCCAGTTGCTTTTGCCGAAGACAAAGAGATCCTCTTGGTTGCGGAGTCAGAAAAATCGAACCGTATGGAAGTCATTGCATACCAACTAGTCAACGGTGGCAAGCACAAGTCAAATAGCATTTTGTCTCTCCAGAAGCCCGGATATGGCCTTCAAATTCTCGAGACCAGTGAATGCGGTCAGGTTATCGTGGGAGCATTTCAGGATCGCTTATTCCTAGGCACTACATCTGCAACCGCTGAGAGTCTTGACCAATTGCAGTACGAAATCTTCTCCTTCGACTCCCCTGACCTCATCACATCCATCGACATGAGACTACATGCACGGTTTTCGGGGAGCACAAAAGGCCACATGGGGGCGGACACGGCTGTCGATGTCATTATTGGAGGCGCTAGAGGAGGCATTTATGTTTACCCTGATGCTTTGTCCCATGTCAGGGCTGTTGGAAAAGCCCAGTTTGTGAAAGATGGGATTCAAGTACAGAAGTATCACTGGCACCGTAAAGCTGTGCATGCAGTCAAGTGGTCAACAGACGGTACATAAATCCTTCCCTGATCGCAATTTGGGCCCAACTACTAACTCGTTTCAGGGAACTATTTCATATCTGGTGGTTCCGAGAATGTTCTCGTTGTTTGGCAGGTTGACACGTCTAGAAAGGACTTCCTTCCGCATCTGTCTGGGAGCATTGAGAACATTGTGGTCTCACAAACTGGTTCTTCCTACGTTCTCCATCTAGATGACAACTCAGCAATGATTTTGTCTACTGCTGAAATGAAACCCACTGCTTACATTGCCGGAATTCAATCAGCAGCAATCGACGTGTCGGAACCGAAGGATTTACTTGTCCGACGCGTGTGGAACATATCGGAGCACGTACGACAACCGATTCCGGCTGCTATTAGACCCTCGGATCCCTCGAAACTCTACGTTTGTGTCAGCAATGGCCGCCAGGAGACTTTGTCAGGAAATCTCTCTATGCCGTTGTTGCAGTCTTTTGATTTGGAATCATTTACTAGCGTCTCGAAGCAAGCGCTGGCGCGAACACAACCCACGGATGTTAACCTCAGCAGCAAAGGACACCCAATTGACGAACCTTTTGTCACAAACATCAACTTTTCTGGAGATGGAAAGTGGCTCGCTAGCGTTGATGAATGGAAACCTGCACCCAGAGATGTTGAAAACGTCTCCCCAGACCAGAGAGATCAGTTTATACGCGAGAGGCACGAGGTTTACCTCAAATTTTGGGAAGTTAGAGATGGCGCTGAGTCATTAGAATTGGTGTCAAGAATTAACGCGCCTCATTCTACCACTTCCCCAGAATCAGTTCTAGACTTGGCGTCTGATCCTACATCAAGCTGCTTTGCAACCATTGGGTCTGATGGAATTGTACGACTATGGAGACCGAGGTCTCGCCGGCAAAACGGGGTTGCGGTTAAGGACGCGAATGGCCGGGATGCTGTGTCTTGGGGCTGCACCCAGGTCATCGCTGTTGGGGACGGCACTGGAATCGAAAATGGCACGGATCTTATCAACCCAACACGCCATATTGAGGTTCAGGGCAGAGTTGTCTTTTCAGAAGATGGCTCTACATTGTTTGCCGCTTTCGGGGCCGTTGATCCCGGGGTTGTATACGTTATTGACGTGGCCTCTGGGCAAATCGTCAAGACTCTTGAGGGGCTGTGGGATGGCAAGCTTCAATCTATCCAGACCCTGGCTTCTTTCATTATCGTCTTGTCTAGCGACCTGAGAGTGTATGATGTGGTTGGCGACGAGCTAGAATATGGCATCGTCGTCCCCAGACTTTACGGAGTTACCGAGCTGCATCAACTTGCCGTTGACCATACTTCGGGCCACTTCGCTGTCACTCTCCCTATCGGCGGTGTATCGAGCATTGGCGTTTTCGACCCGGAAGACCCAGAGCCTTTACTGGTTAGGAGCACGCCGCATAGGATTGTGAGCCTTGTGTCAGCACCGGGGGCAAGTGGTTTCATTGCCCTCGATGACGCAGCCCAGGTCTGGGTAATTGCTGAAGGCTCTGACCCGTCGTCTGTTGCAACTCTTCAGCCGCTACATGATCTCCAACTAGATGGCCCGTCCGGGGCCGTCGATACAGACACAAGTACTGCAGAGGTACTGGCAACAGATGAAATGGATGTTGCCAGCGAAGACGATATGGACGATGCAAGGGAAGTGGATGAGGATGTTGACATGGATGACGACGATGACGACGATGCTTACGGCAGTGTGATACCTCAGCAGTTCTTGACGGAAATCTTCGATGCAGCACCCGCATTTGCCGCCCCGTCTATCGAGGACATGTTCTACAAGGTGACGGGACTTTTGGCCACAAAGCCTCTTGCCGAGCAATAAGGGGGGTTTCACTGGGAGCAAGTTTTGAAATGTATATACAACGGCGGTGGATGTACGAGGCGCATTTTTGGAAGAGCCAGCTTTGGGTATTACTACAGCAATACAACAGTGTAATTTGAACCGAGGGCCAATGCAAAGTGACTTTTGAGGTCGCGTGAAGTGCTGCGATTTAGCCTATGAGGAACCGAACCGAGCTCGGGAGTCCATGCCTGGCCCCAATATCCGGCAGCGGCGCCCAAAAAGTGGCACCTGGGGGGCATCCATGGACGACTTGGCGGGTCTCCCCGGCCGGCTCACAGAGGGGTCGTGCGATTACGCCATTCCTAGGGGGGGACTTGGGGGATGTCAAGAGAGGGCGATCGACTGTCCATGTTGAACATTCTGCTCCAGTGTTCTCGATTCACCTGTCTGGGTATAAAAGGGAGCCGAGGGGAATACAAGAACGTCAGAGTTGGTCAATATTTATCCGTCTGGACCACGTCCAAAGCAGCGCAGGCCACGATGTCATTTACTTCGATTCCCATTCTGGATCTGCAACTCGCCCGGGACCCGGCCACCAAGCCCGAGTTCCTGCAACAGCTGCGCTACGCTCTCCTAGAAGTGGGTTTCTTGTATCTCAAGAACGTAGGCATCCCAGAGAAACTCTTCCAAGATGTCATCAAGAAGGGGAAGGGGTTCTTTGACCTGCCTCTCGAAGAGAAGTACGTGCTTATCGCTCCTCCATATATGGAAACCCGGCTCCAAAAAAAAAACACACTCATCTGCTTGCCGTTCAAAAGCGTGGCCGTGGCCTCGGGCTGACACCTCGTCAGACTCAAAATTGAGATGAAAAACGCCAAGTCCTTCCTTGGGTACTCTCAGCTCTCTGCCGAAATCACGGCCGGCGAAATCGACCACCGCGAACAGATTGACTTGTCTACCGAGCATCCTGTCCCGTCGCCAAGCGCTCCTCTGTACCACAACCTCCTGGCGCCGAACCAGTGGCCGGCTGAATCCTACGCGCCCGGCTTTCGGGCCACTTACACGGACTACATGAAGCGCATGAGCGAAATCTCCATCTACTTTACGTCTCTCATCGCCGAGGCCATCAAGCTGCCCAGCGACGCCTTCAGCAAGTACTTTGACGAGGACCAGCAGCACAAGCTCAAGATAGTAAAGTACCCCGACATGGCGGAGCTGGGACAAGACGGCCAAGGCCAGGGAGTCGGGCCACACAAGGACAGCATGCTGACGAGCTACCTGCTCCAAGCTACGTCCCATCGGGGCCTGCAGGTGCAAAATGTCCAGGGGGAGTGGATCGACTGCCCGCCGATTGATGGCACGCTGGTTGTGGCGATAGGGCAGGGGATGGAGGCGTTGACACAGGGCGTCTGCGTGAGCACCACCCATCGAGTGGTGTCGCCGGCTGCGGGATCCGGGGCCAGGTATTCCATTCCGTTCTTCCAGGGGGTGAAGCTGGATGCCGAGTTTGATGACTTGGAAACGGTAGGTGTTGGGAGGGTGCCGGACGATGTGAGGGAGCAGAGGAGGAAGGTTATCGAGCGGACGGGCGGGAGGATTGACGATGTCGAGTTTACGTTTAGGGCGGGGGCCGTGGCCAAAACGTTGGGTGAGGCCACGCTGAGGAACAGGGTCAAGAGCCACCCGGACGTCGGGGAGAGGTGGTATCCGGATATTTTGAGGGCGATTAGGGAGGAGCAGGCTGCTGCCGCGGCGGCGAAGAAGAGTGCCGCCGGACCGGGGCCAGCTGCCGGTGTCGCTCCAAAGGCAGTTGAGGCTCATTGATCGCATGTGTGATGGATGGGATGTATGTGTAGAAGATGCAGAATGTCAATATCATATAAGAAATTCATCACGAATCGTCACAATGTCTACAACTCAGTGCTACGTCCCACTCTGTCCTCTCTATCTCCCCTGATGCTGACGCCGGTGCTAAATGGATACTGTCTAACTTTTCGCTCATCTCTGCCCCCAACGCCTACTCAACTTGTACGACGCAAAACTTCCGCTCGAGACCGCTGAACAGAGGCGACTATAGGGTCTTTCCAGGGAAGCAGTCGCCAATGTCCTTGCTATGCTTGTTGGTAGCATGTTCCTGCAGCCTGTGCATGAAGAAATGGAAAGATTAGTCCACGCCGCTTGAGGTTATAGGAATTAATATGACATCGAGGGGAAAGGGGAGTGTCGGCACGTACGCAGGGCCCTTGGTGGTGGAGAGGAACGTGGCCTTGCAGACCTGGCATTGAATGTTCATGGCCTGCTGGTTCTAGAGAGGGAGCACCGGCGTTAGCAAAGAGGTACGTTTGCATTGCCAAGACAACAGAAAGGCGCAATGACATACAACTTTGAGCTGCGACTTGGCGACTTTGCTGTCCTTGGCGTTGCGCTCGCGCTTCTGTTGTGCCTTGGCTCCCTATGCGCCATGTATTAGTACGCCTGCTGTTGGGGACTCAAAGCACTTAGGTATTTTGTCATACGTTGCCCATTTTTGCGAGGATGGCTTCGTGGGTAGAGGCAGAAGGAGTGTAGGAGTGCAAGTCGGGTCTTGGACCAAATATGCCTATCGGTGAGACGAAGGCGGAATCGAACAGGGAGTACCAGCGGAGTCGGTGATAAGGTGGAAGATGGCGGGCTGATGTGGAAGTCTGGATTCTCTGCTTGGTGAGACGGGCCAGCAGAATATAGTCGGATAGAGAAGTTGTCGACGAAATAGAAATGCGCAGGAGAGAGAAGGGCCTGGTTGGCGCACGTGGGATGGTGATGGCTTGACGGCTGATAGGCGATAAGGCCAAGGGACGTGGGAAAATTTGCTCCGTCCTTTTCGGCCACCCCAAACAACTTGAGCTGGTGCTTGAGTGCCACCTCCACAATCTGCATCACAGGTTGATAAAGTCGACAGCCAAGTACAACTCTAGACTCCACGAATCCGCTCGTGCCGTCGTCAGGCCTTCTTGTGAACCAACAGTAGCGACACTTATGTAAACCCGGCAGAGGGTTGCAGTGCATTACGCTCTACCGGGAATCCTCATCCCTCGGCCCTAAAAGGATACATTTTGCGAGACCCAACATTGAGGCTCCCTAAGAGGCAGCAGATTTCATTTCCAGCATTTCACTCAATGTGTGCCTTGATAGCTTGTCAGCCACGCACATGATTTTTCGGCTTTGTTCGCTGTAGCTGGTGCAGCGCGAAGATCTGCGAAGAAAATCTGATCTACAGTTTGTGGACAAAAAGTCTTCGACCACCCGGCGTCGTCGAATGACTCCAAAGAGGTCGAGTACTTATGGAACCTACTGCAAGGTAATTCTGGAAGACAAACGTAAAATTCTCATAGTCTCTTGCTAGGTCTATGTCGGAATTATTGCTTCGCCATAAAGTTGACCCAGTGAGATACGCTAATCACGGCCAGACCAAAGCATTACCACACAGCACCAGGTTGATTCATCGTCTTGGGTCATCTTTACGAACATATACTACCTAGTGGACCCGTCCGGCAGGGTGAGCTGTCTGCAGTCTCGCCGTCCTGTGAGGAGTTTGAATCAGCCTGACCTACTAGATTGAAGTAGACAACTTGACAACCACGCCGTATCAAAATGGTAACTAGTTGTTCGTGGAACATGTCTCAAACACATTAGTCCACTTCCGATGATGGCGTGTCTAAGGTCTAGCTAGGGGCCTCCACTTCCTATTGATGGTCTCGCTTTGCAATGTTGCTGGATGCAAGACTACGTATTCAAGTTGACAAGGTTCTTGGTCCCATGTCACCCTACTAGCAAGGTTTTGGTACTTAAAAATTATACCATGTAGTAGATTGCTTACTTACGTATTCTAGATGCAGCTGCAATGCGCGGTGGATAGATCTTACATGCAATTACATCCTCACTGCCATCTTGAGAGCTGGAGCAAGTAATGATGCCCATATTTGGCAGTGTGGAGTCGATAACCTTGCCGATTAGGGGAATCCAGGCTTGTTAGAATGGGTCACTTGTTACGG